GTCGTCATCCCTGATGGTCCGTGGTCCTGCTCCTTGTTCCTGCATAGACGTTCGTTGAGATGGGCCGTTGAGCCCAATCCCCATTGCCGACGTTCGTCTGTTTTTAAGGAACATGGGTCTGCCGTCCACTTGTGTTCTATGCCTAGGTCTGGGGCCGTAACCATATTTAGGGGTTGCCCTTTCTGCCATTGGAGTCTATATAACACTCCGTGGTTGGCGTTTTCTGTGGTGCGATTTGGTCTAAAGTTGTGATAGTTTTATCATAAGTGTCTTTAACTATTTGAGGTGAGGAGGTAGAAGAAAGTTCTTGCTCTATTTTACTGAGCTGGTCGTGTAAGGCTTGTGTAAATTCACTTTTACCTTCTCGAAAAAGTTTTTGACTAGCCTCAGAGATTTTGAATGGTTTAAAAATCGGGGTTTTTAATTTTTTGAATAATTTCGTTATCAATTTTTAATTCATGAAGCTTTAATATATAAAGACGGTATGGTGGAAATTCAAATAGAAATCTATTTGCAGTCAAAAGATGAAAATTTGTTGTCACAATTAATGAAGCATTACTTAATATTTAACAATTAATCGGAGTGACAATCAATGATTAAGTACAAGTCTGTTGAGGTTAATCCAACACGATATAGTAAATATATGTATAAATGTGTATGAACAAGCTCTTTTTACGTGGAAACCCGAAAGGGAGAAAACCACGGGACTTTTTAGGCTAATGTCCAAGCCCTCTCTTTCTCATTAGGACTCTCCTCACAATTACATTGTACAAGCTCCCATTAATGGAGTATTGAGCTAAGTCTAAAAGGAGGAAGAAGGAAAAGATCCATAATATGGAGGGAAGCTCCCATATTTATAGAGAATAGGGGGAGGGGATGCTCTCCACCCTAATGGGCCGCATGGGCCGAAGTGGGCCGAAATGGCTAAAGTGGGCCGGAATGGGCCTAGCTGCTCGGGCTCCGTACTAAGTAATGTCTTGAGCTCCTGAACAGTAATAGGTCGGGATAATATATCCCAACAAAGTCTAATTAATTGTTATACGTTACAAATTAATTAAAGAATAGAAAAACGAGAATAAACACAATATATATAAACAAAATTGTAAATAAATATTAAAAACATAACATGCAAAATTAATCAATAGGCATAACACAATAATAGTCTTCTTGATGTTCCGTTTTTTTCGACTTATCAGGCATATCAATCAACTATGTTACCAAACACGTAACTTTTGATATAACACACGAATTATGTAACAATAATAAAAAGTAAGGTTGAAGTTATTTTTTGCCTGTATTGACTGAAGTTAATATATAAGACAATTTTAGCTATTTTTCAAATAAGTTTTTCTCTACTTTACCAATAACAAATATTTTAATATTTTTTTCATAAATCAAGAGAACAACCAATTCATCTAATTTAGCCAGAACTTCATAAATTTTAGCAGAATCAGTCGATTCAGCCAATTTCAGTATTATCAAATGGATTCTAAAGTTAAAGAATGGAATGTTCTAATTTTTAAAATATAAAAATTGAGCACTACATTATATTCAAGCGCGATAAATCGGCATATAAACATTGCATAAAATACAACAATAATAATTGATACTCCCCCATAAAACTTGACCATAGTTGATTTTCATGTTATATACTCCCTCCGTATTTTAATATTCCTTACGTTAGCTTTGGGCACAAGATTTGAGGGAGAATAGTAGGTGTAAAGAATAGTATAGACAAGGTAGGGGAAAAGGTGAAAAAGTAGGAAATAGAGGATAAAAAGTATAAAAAAAGGATAATTGAGTATTTTTAAAGGAAAAACTTACTAAAAGAGAATGTGTATAGCACTTTTAAATACATCTAAAAATGGAAAGTGTATAAAACGAAGGGAGTACAAATTATTAAACTAAAAATTTTGTGAGTGATGTTTATGTAATGAAAATGACAATTTAGGAGTGGTGGAATATTTATTTAATAAATTTGTACTGCATATGAATTAGTGTATCTTTAACAACAATTTTACATGTTCTCTAATATAGTTGAATATCAGGTTTTAATTTTTACAAGTATGTATATATATGTTCATGAAACAAATGAATTTAAAAAAATAAAATAATATCATCCGTTAACCGGTGACGACTAACTAAAAAAAAATGAGTCAAGAACATATATTTATAATACCCCATTTGTTCTGGTAATACAATATTAGAATAATTGATTCAAATGTTATATTTCCAGATGAACAAATGGGGTATTAGAAAGACATATCCATCTCATCTCATGAGTGAGGAAGAATTATAAGAATTCAAACCACACAACTGAACAAACGAAGATCTTTGAAGCGGAATTATAACAAAGTCCAATACTTTATACGCTTTCGGTGTGGGAAGAATTTAGATGCTTCAATGCAGAGCGAAACCATACCCAGCAGAAATATTACCCAGCCTGCCACGCCTAATATATAGAATGTCGACAAATATCAATTGTCACGGGTTGGTATTTGAACTAAGACGTAGGAGCAGGCTAGCTTCTCTGCAGGTTTCTTCGATTCTCCCTATTGGTCGGCGATGAAGGAAGATGAGGTAGCAAGACACTGCGCTTTTTAGGCATCCTATGCAGGATTAATATTTGATATGTTCCGTCCCAATTTGTAAGACATTTTACGGACACTGCGCTTTTTAGGCATCCTATGCAGGATTAATATTTGATATGTTCCGTCCCAATTTGTAAGACATTTTACGGTTTGCGATGTTTGATCGACGATAAAGCAAATTGATCTCTAGCAACACTCAAATTAGTTTTAGAAAATAAAATTTACATATATTCAGAAACTATATTCAAACCGCTACAAAGTCTGCAAAAAATAATTCAAATTTCATAAATTTTTGATATATAAAGTAAAAGATTAAGAGTGATTTCGGGTGACCAAGTGAATAGTAAATGTATCTTACAAATTGGGACCTCTTCCCGTGCAAAGTGCGAAGATATGCACTTTTTCATGTTTCGCTTTCACTTTTTCGTGTTTCTGTTGCACTTTTTCGCAGTGGCGAAAAAGTGTGGTTTATTTATGAAATTGCCACCGCGATTTTGTTCAAATTTATCCACCCTACCTTCCCTACCCCCTTCAAAATTAAATTGGTGCCATGGATAGAGCCTAAAGAAAATCTCAAAGTGAATATGGATGCCTCTTTCATACATGGTATTTCAAGGGGTGGTGCTGTATCAATATCAGCTTCCCCATTCGGGCAAAAAATCCGTTACAGGCATAAATCCAAGCTATCATGTTCATCATCAATTGGCTGTCCCAAAATGGACACTCAACATTCATCACTGAGTCTGACTCCCTTTTAGCCATATCCCAAATCAAACACGGCTCAGTGGATGCTGCCAATCGATCGGCAATACAAGAACTCAGACTTTTGGCACTCAATCTCAACAGTACGTTCTCGCATGTTCACAGACAAGGAATTGCCGAAGACCTTCTTGCCTCTTGGACAAACACGGACAGTCCATTCAAATTATTCATCAATAAATTGGATCTTCCTTCTGAAATTAGACATTCTCTGACCGCAGACGAGATGGATCTTCCCTCTTTCCGTTGTTTACCATCTTTGGTTTTATCACTTGGGCTTGTTGTATTTTAATACTCCCTCCGTCCCATTGGACTTTGCCAATTTTCCTTTTTTACTTGTCCCAAAAAACTTTGCCACTTTCCTATTAAAGCGACTAATTTGTGGTTCTGCACATTTATCTCTCCTCTGCACAAATTTCAACCACACAATTTTTACTATTCTTATTTCTCACCTAATTTGCACTTGGCAAAGTCTACCGGGACGGAGGTAGTATTAAAATATCCCAAACTTTAAAGGGTGTGAGGTAAACACCCGAAACTTCGATATGTAATTTAAATACCTCAAACTTTGTATAAAAAGTTATTTAAGCACCAAGATTATGTATTATTTCTTTCAAAAATATAAATTTATGGTGCTAATTGCATAATTTAAAATATCGAATTAAAGGCTTCGTAACTATTTATGTTGGGGGTAACATTATTTATCTAATAATGAAAGTCAAGAATGCTAATTGTTTCTTTATGAATATTAAAATATATTAAATTATGCAATTAACACCATAAATTTACATTCTTGAAAGAAATATTATTTGACTATGGTGCTAAAATAATTTTCTGCATAAAGTTTGGGGTATTTAAATTACATATGCAAGTTTGAGATGCTTACCTCACACTCATTCAAAGTAGGGGTGGGATCGGGATGATCCCGATCCTATCCCAATCCCGATTCAAAATACAAGAGGTTCCTGTATCCCGTTCCGATTAAGTCGGGATCCCGATATTAAAGTCCTACTCTAACTAACTAAAACTCTAAAGTTAAATATAAAGATAACATCAAGCTGGTGTCCTCAAGTTTCTCGCTACCTACTATATTTCCTCCTACAATAAGGAATCTCTAAAAATGCATCCTTAACCGTTTTTAAACCCGAAAGGTAAACCAATGCATCCCTAATCGTTTTCACCACCAAAATGTATCTCTTCTTTTTTAGGGGGGGAGGGATGTTCTAACTTCTTTAAATACCTCAAACTTTATATAAAAAATAATTTTAACACCATGGTCATGTGACATTTCTTTCAAAAATGTAAATTTATGATGTGAATTGCATAATTTAAAATCGCAAATTGGGAACATTGCAATTATATAGGTGGGGGGGGGGTAATACTATTTATTTTACAATGAAACTTTAGAATGTTAATTGTATGTTCATGAAGGCTAAACTATTTTAAATTATGAAATTAACTCCGAAAACTGATTTTAAAAAAAAAAATAATAATGCATGATCATGGTGCTAAAATAACGTTTTATATAAACTTTGGGGTATTTAAATTACATGTGCAAGTTTAGAGTGCTTACTTCACGCTCCTTCAAAGTTTGGGGTATTTTAGTTATTTTTCCCTAATTAAGAAATACCAATGCATACCAAATTGGACGTCAAATATGAAACCATCATTCTTTCTCTATGCATGGTAATGAACCGAACCAAACCGAACTAAACCAAACCAAACCGAACATATCCAAAAGTCATGAGAGAAAGGATTAGCAATCTAACATTGAAATGCTTTTAAAAGTTCAGAGGCACATCAAACAATCCAAAACTAATCCAGCTGTGGACTTGCAGTCCATCCTGGTCCAAACTGTCAGTAAGGTTGAGATAAGTATTTCTTATGTGTACACCTCCATCCTGGTCCAAACTGTCAGTAAGGTTGAGATAAGTATTTCTTATGTGTACACCTGCAAAAGTTATACACATTCAAAAACATGGATCTGTTCAAGCATTGCCATCCCACTCTTCATAAAACTCTTTAAGAAAATCTTCCATAACTTTGTGCCTTCTTTCAGCCCTCCTCTTCCCAGCCTGTCAATTAAAATGCATCAAATAATTGTAAACAACGTTAAGAGTTCAGAACAATTTTACAGAGATGTTCCAGAAGCAGTGATAGGGATCTACCTATATTAGGAATTGGGCCTAATAGACTGTTAGGAATTGGGCCTATTAGAGCATGAATATTGATAAGTGTATATTAGCTTAGTATAAATAATAGAAGCTAGGAGAAGTAGAGTAGGTTGTTTTTAGACTTGGACTTTGGGACTTGGGAAGATCGAGAGCTTTCTCTTTCTTTGGGGGGCTTCGGCTCAATTGGGGGCTTCGGCCAGAATTTCTCTCTTCTATTTCTGTAATTGTTCTTCTTCATCAATAAAGGTTCATCTGTTTCTTGTTGATCTTGCTGTAATTGTTCTGGAACATATGGAGGTATCTATCATTGGTATCAGAGCTGTTACTTCCTGGAGACAAAGAATCATGGAGGAGGATTTCTACACGACACCGCAAATGGAAAAGAGTTTTGATAATATGGACCGAATCATGAGGAAGACACAAGCGAGTATGGTCGCGTCGCAAGAAAAGATGAAGACGATGATGGTTGCTATGCAAGAGGCGATGCAAGCTAGCGTCGCAGGAATTGCAGAACCGACTTCAAAGTTGTTCGCGACATACAACGCACCATTCGCACCGATCTTCGCATCGCTCATCCCACCCTAGCTCTTCGCATCGCTCCTCTCCTCGCTCGTCACAGAAGGAGTCGCAGACTAAATCGCGAAATTCTTCTCACTGTTCGCAGTCGCGAACAGAGTCTTCATCATCATCGCACATATCGCATCACAATTCTTATCATCGACGTACACAACATTTGACTAACTCAGAGGCATCGGAAGATCGATCGAGGAATCGATCGCATCATTCGAAGAATATAGATAGTTCGCAAGATTCCGATAATCATCATCAACATAAACGACTGTCGGCGACCTCAGAGGAGTTGGAAGAGCAGAGGCGTCGCAGAAGAACTGAAGAACGATCGAGGAAGACTAGGTCTCTTCCGCTAACTGACAAACAAGGTTCGTCGCATCGCTCTTCTCATCGCTCTTCGCATCATCATTCGCAGGATTCATCACCTGCTATCAGTTCGCATCCAAGAAAGACGCGATTAAAAGAAGAATCTTCATCTTCTTCATCAATCAATTCTCACTGTTCGCCTTCAGCGTTTCAGGCCGTTTGTCTGAGTGCGAAAACAACTTCTGACGGTCCTCTAGTTTCGACTCGAGTAGAAAACCCTAGTTCACAATCTCTATCTGAGTCTCAGCAGATGTTGGTTAATCAGCAGCAAACATCCACGGAAGATACACACACCTATGGCGAAGAGGAAAGCAAAGAGAAATCTTCAGATAATCTTGGACTTGAAGAGGGAGCAATTACTCGTTTCCTCATTGGTAACAACACCTCCAGGTACAAACTCGTTAATTCAGAATTGGAAATCAATATGCTACTGTCCATTGAGCGTAGCCCTGCAATTGATGACCACTTTCAAGTCAAGAAGTACCAAGTTGGGAAGTCAAGTCCTATATCTCAAAGGAAGGAGGTAATTCTTGTAACTGATGCGATGAGAGGGATAAAATGGTTGATCCATTTGGGGAAATATGAAGGTATTATCCTTTTCCTTACAATTCTGGTCAGAGGATTGCGGAGGGGAATGGACTCCGGTTATTCTTTTCCTGTCATAGAAGTTTTTTTTTTGGAAAAATCGCAAAGGATGCTGCTACATCAATTTAGATTCTATGCTTCATGATTCCTCAGCCTGAAGAATAGCAGCAAAGATTGGAGTTCTTTTAAAAAAACGAACTTCCCTCATCTGACAAGAAAGGATTGAACCAAAGATGTAGGGCTGATGTACTTGTTGATGCAGGAGCTGATTTTGTATTCTCAGCCTCAAAGTGTTGCTTGGTTTATGTGTTGCTTCATAGTAGCAAAGATTGTACCATTTTGAAAATGGACTCTCCTTTTGAAAAATGTGCAGTGGCAGAGAGATTTTGGTGGGGTATTTCTATGGAAGTTGTGTGGTGGCATGATGTTGGGTGTACTCAAAGTGCAGCAGTGGATGACTTGGTTTTACTGAAAAACATGATAGGATCACAGAAATTTGATGTCAAGCCTAACTCAAAGGGAGAAAAGTCAAATGGAGTTGAGCAGGTTAAAAGGGATGAGAATCCTGATGTTCAGGACATGAATATAAATTCTGCTGCTGTTGTAAGGGATAATATACCTCAGGAAAGAATGAAAATATTTGTGGCTATTGTAGGCCTGAAGCCTAAGGAAGAGAAAGATACTTCACCAGAAACATTCTATGCTGCAGAAACGTCTCAGAGTTGTGAAGATCTAATAATGAAGCTCTTTGCTCGGAAACCAGTGAGATATTGGGAAGGTAGAAGCGCAAGGAAGAAGGAGCAGAAGATATGGGCTGTCTCCTATAGTCCTATCGCTCACCTTGAGGACAAGGTGGATGTTTAGGGAGGGAGTATTGATAGGGATCTACCTATATTAGGAATTGGGCCTAATAGACTGTTAGGAATTGGGCCTATTAGAGCATGAATATTGAATTATTGATAAGTGTATATTAGCTTAGTATAAATAAGAGAAGCTGGGAGAAGTAGAGTAGGTTGTTTTTAGACTTGGACTTTGGGACTTGGGAAGATCGAGAGCTTTCTCTTTCTTTGGGGGGCCTCGGCTCAATTGGGGGATTCGGCCAGAATTTCTCTCTTCTATTTCTGTAATTGTTCTTCTTCATCAATAAAGGTTCATCTGTTTCTTGTTGATCTTGCTGTAATTGTTCTGGAATATTTGGAGGTATCTATCAAGCAGTCAGAAAAACCTGAGTTTTCATCAAGTCCTTCAACTTGAGAAGCTTCTCATGAAAATGGTTAATAGTTGTCTGCTCATCTTTGTTCATGTAGTTTTCCTTGGAAAGATCTGACCTGGGAAGAATTTTAGGATCATGAAGAACGCTATGCCTGCTTCCACCAAATGTAAAACATCTTGCAATTCCTGGAAGTTGATACTTGGTTAAAAAACAAAAATAAAACTACCATAGTAATCACATTTTGAAAGTTTTAGGAAAATGATAATGGCTGATAATGCAACAAAAGCCTTACCCTCAAACAGAAGCATCAACATGTATCTATAGCATCTACAGAGACTATAATGTGTAAACGACATGTTAAGAAGGATACACAATTCCTATAAGTGTTTCTTCATTAAAAGTCCAATTTTAAGCTTTCAGTTTATTGGGATACTAACACTTGTTCTGTATAAGCTTGGCGTGATATGTGTTCATCATGAGTAAAGCCACGCAACAGGTATATATTGCAACTGAAAGTGACTTAGTTACCTATGGCACCAATTGCATCAAGTCGATCTGCGTCTTGCACAACCTGAAATTCCAGTGAAGAAATACCATTTGCTTGACCTTCAAGTTCTTCTTTGAACCCTGAGAATAAATGTCTTTAAGAAATTTAATAATGCAAGAGTCAAGTCAAATCTTGTTTCATTAGAACTTAGTGTAGTACTTCAAAAAAACTAATCTTTATTTACTACTCCCTCCGTCCCGCTAACATTGTCCCGTATTACCATTTTGGGATGTCCCACTATTTTTGTCCCATACCCTTTTAGGAAATAAAAATGTAAAGATAATCACAAAAATACCCCTGTTTTAAATTTAAAATCACTCCTTTATCCTTACCTTTTCTGCCAAACTGACTGCATACTTCGTATTGTACGCGTACATCCCAGCTGGTTGGGATACGCATACCACTCTCTCTCCCCCATCTTTGGATCTGTGATACCTCCCCAAACCCACTATCTTCACAGCCTGTTCTTAAGTAAATATGAGTTCTGATTCCACAAAAACCAATTTGGAAGGGCTAATCGTTGAAGATAGTGAAGAGAGGGCCAATTCGAAGGGCTAATCGTTGAAGATAGTGAAGAGAGGGCTGATTTCATTCCTGAGACGGAAGACGCTGAAGTCAATTCGTATGGCGATTCTTCATCACTTGTTCCTTCCCGAGTTGAAGCTCCCAAGGCAGAAAAAGTGTTCGTTCCTCCTATCTAGAATCCTGAAACGCTGAAGATGGAGCCTCCCTTATTGAGCCCTGAAGTGCACAAGCGGGTGGATGATTTTATAGTTAGGTACGGAGTATATATTACCTCGATGGGAGAAGTATTGCCCAAAATCTGGCCCAAAGTGAAGGCAAAATTCTTTAATCTCCTCTTCATATATTCAGATTTTCTTGAGTTTTTTTCAATATTTTAAGAATTCATCCTGACTGCTTCTGGAAAGTAAATTTTGGATTTTCTGTGCTTTCTTTTTCAACTTTCTTTTTCTTAATCCATATTTCATCTATGAATTTTGGTTTGGATAGATTCTTAATTAATCCTGATTGCATCTGTATTCTTTATCAGTTTGTCCGTATTAAAGTACTAATAATGCTGTCAAGATGGTGGGACATGGGTTTCGTGTATCTTGCACTGCTTTTGTATAAAGTAACAGCAGTGAACAGTGCATATATGAGACCCAATTCGATGCTTTATGCATTTCACTTGGTATTCGAGCCACTCCCTTCCGTCCCAAACTTAGGGGGACGGAGGGAGTAATACCTAACTTAAATATTACTGTGTACAATAATTAAGTTGAAAAAATAACTTTAGTCAAGCCTTGTTACTTGTACCAGAGAATCAACAGCTAAATAAAAAATATCAACAAATGCAACACATAATTTAATAAAGGGAAAACTGTCAAATAGGCCTCATACTATATCAAAAAAGTCAATAAAACCCTCAAACTAAAAAAACATCCAATTAGACCCACGAACTTTAGAAAAACAGTCAAATATGTATTTTAACCTGTTAACCATCGGTTAGCCGGTTAGTATGCCTATCTGGGCAGCCACGTGTCTGATTTCACTTTTTTTTCGTTTTCTTTTATTTTTTCTTTTCAGTTCTGGTATTATTTCTTTCTTCCACCGGCCACCACCGCACCTTCTCCCTCTTCTTTCTTCTTCGACCAAAGCTGTTCACCCCTCCTTTCTTAGTCGAATTTTTCCCCTCACCGAGACTAATCTTCTTCAACAAGCTCAGAAACGAAATTTTAATGATAGATTTGAGTTTTAATCAACTCGTTTTCGGCAACCACTATCTTCTTCTTTAGTCTTCCAATCAATCTCTTTTTCTCTTGGTTTTTATACTCCTGCATCAAGGATTGGGACCGTCCGGTTAGGAGATCACCCATATTCTCTTGATCTCCTCCAGTGAGCTGGCCTTGAGGAGAGAAGTCAACCCCGCATGCTCTGTAACATAGGACAGAAAAGGGAGAAGCCGGAATGCAGCAGAAGCCGGTCCGGAGGGTATTAATGGAATTCTGAAATGCAGACCTGGCCCGGAGAGCATTAATGGAGTGCCAACATGAGCTAAGGAGCACGAAGAGCGAAGAAGAAGAATGGGGATTGGCTTAGCCGCTTAGGCATTTGGACCTGGATTCACTTTTGAAGGGATTCTTTTCAGGAGCCTACTGTGATCTTTAGACTAACTAAGGCCATTCATAGACTTAGAAAGAAAATGATGAAGCCAAAGGTGAAAGAAGAAAGGAAAATGGGGGTGACATTCGAGAGAAGGGGGGAGGAAAGAATCTGATGAGGAAAAGAGGGGTTGGAGCTGCCAGAGCCTTGGGGAAGAAAAGGGTGAGGTGGGACCGGTGGAAGAAAGAAAGAAGTAGCGGAATAGGCAAAGTAAAAATAAAGGAAAAAGAAAACAAATCAGCCTTGTGGCTAGCCACAGGCCCTCGTAGGCATATCATGGGTTTAATTAAGTCTTTTTTTAGTTGGATGGCTTAATTGACTTTTTCGACATACTACGAGGGCCTATTTGACAGTTTTCCTTAAAATAAATAATAGCCTAAGAAAATTAGGGTGTAATATATTTATGAGAGTAAAACATGATCAGTGTTTACTACAGATTACAATCTGCAACAAACTTATTTAAGAAAAAGTGAGGCATCAAACCACAGCAGAATATGTAACCCAACATTTGAAGCATCCGCTTCTTTGCTGACTATGGATAAACAGCAGTCTTTTCTCATTAATAAAACTAAGAATCAGGGACAATATGGGTCAACAAAGTCCACCCTTTTCCTAAGTCAACCGTTGCTTTAGAAAGCAAGAGGCAATACCACATATCAAAGCTCCCCCCATGCATGATCATTGAGAATGTGAATGCTTCACAACACAGATTTCTAGCATCATTTGAATACCAAATTAGAGATAAAATACCATGCAAATATGCTGCCTAAGACGAATTCCATGATAGATATCTGGAGATCGAGAGTAAATTACCCTAGCCATATACAACATCTTACCCATTCCTTTTATGATCTTCAAAACATCTATCCTCATGCTATCCTCTATCCCTTCATGGTCAAGGAATTCCTCTACGATTTTTGCCTCAGATGGGTCCCTGGATACAAGACACTACATATCATAATTGGGGGGATAGTGCCACGAATATAAGGATTGAGAAGAGTTACAACAACATCCAAGCCTTAATCCCAAAAGATTTTGGGGTCGCCTAACATGAATCGATCCATGATATCGATCCCAAAAAGAGAAGACAGATAAGAAGAAGAAAAGGATAAAAGAGATTTGGATTTAAAAAACTAAAAAATAAGGCAACAGCCTGGGGTCTGGATAGATATAAATGACATCTTTTATCTTTTATGCTCTGTAAATAAAAGGGAAAATGGAAACTAATAATCCAACCTTTTAGCGGTCTTCTTACAATAGTCCCACCTTTTCATTATTCATGAATAATCCAACTTGTGCACCCCATCTTCACTCACTGGTCCCTGACCGATTTATGACCTGTTATTCCAAGTTATTTTCTTATCTTTGCGAAACATTATGTGATCATAAGGTGGGAATTATGGTATAATGTTTTACAAAGATAAGAAAATAACTTGGAATAACAGGTCATAAATCGATCAAGGACCAGTGAATGAAGATGGGGTGCAAAGGTTGGATTATTCATGAATAATGAAAAGGTGGGACAATTGTAAGAAGACCGCTAAAAAGTTGGATTATTAGTTTCCATTTTCCCTAAATAAAATGCAGAATTAATTCCTGATTTCCGACATTCTAATCTATATGTCCAACTAATCAATCACAGACTGAACTCTATATACAATCAATGCATGTCATAAATAAATATATGTGCCTTACTTTGAAATATACTATGTATATACTTGTAGAGATATGTACCCAACAGTGGAGGAATGGAAATCCAAACCTCATGTATTTGTAGTCACCTGAATATGCGCACACAGCAGGAAATCCATTAGTTAAAGTAAAAAGCATCAGCACTAGTAATAGAACATTTAAATGTAAATCATGTACAACAAGTTAAGATAATTTCCTTCTATACCAAGCATAAAATGATGAAACTGCCTGTGTATAGCAGCAAATCTTGTATGCATTGCATCATATCAAAAGATAAATCTATTTCATTATTTGCCATTCCAAATGCATAAAACAAATCTATGAAGTACCCGATACTTCTTTTATAGATGTAAAGAAAAAAGATACAAGTTAACTGGTCTTGGAAGTTGGAAGCTCAAGACAAAATGTACCTCATTAAGTTTGGTAGGAGTACACCAACCAAACATGTACTAGGTTTGACCAAGGTTGGGTACCGCCATATAAAGATGATTTATGTATGCAGATTATACACACAAGTGCGCTGCACACATTTCATTATCGCTATATGTGCATACACATATAGACATATGCTTGTGTGGAGTTTACTTAGCTAGTAGACGAATTAATATGAGTTATGCCCCTCATAACCCTCATGTATAAAACATTGAACTCACATCGCCAAATTATATTCTACCAAAAAGGAATGTGATGGAATTTGACAAAATAGAAAAAAGAAACAATAGCAACAGTCTAGATGAAAACACTGTCAACTGAAAAAAATCCCTTCTATACACTGCCTTTGAAAATAGAAAGATTAAAGCAAAAAATAAATGTGAATGTGATAGCTCTCAAATGAGTAAGTATGTTTACAAGAGAAAGAATAAGTCCCCATACCTATATCATGCAGAAGAGAAGCTAGTTCCACCTGTCATAAAGCAACACATGTTCTTAAATCTCAACCAGTGGTGTATCAGCTTCAAGAATTAAATGACTGAAACTAATTAGTGTGCTACCAGAATGCTCAGTGTAGATGAATAATGATGAACTATAGTCTGTCTGATCCTAGTAAAAATATTTACTTTATAAGCATTGCACATCCCCTCATCACTTAACACAATGTAATTGACATGCAATTTCAATATAAAATTGGCTTTAGTAGTTTCAATTCTTAAAAACTTTTATACCTAGCAAATGATACCAAAACCATATCACCAGTCACAATTAGAAAAGATACAAAACCCTTAGCACCAGTTTCAAACCTTTACGCTTTGTAGCTCATTAAGTTTAAAAATTAAACAAAACGAACATTATATATCAAACGGAATTCTTTTTATTCATGATTTGAAATATAGGTTAGCTAGTAAGTAGAAATCAAGAGTTAGGAGAACGTAATATTGAAAAATTCTATGAATCAATTAAGGGCTTAAGATATCACAAGCTTTGATTGTTTTAGAAAAATTCTCTGTTAAGGTTAATAAATAATCTGTGAAGAAATACTCATTGAAATAAACTTCAAAAAATAAATCTAAAAAGAATCAAAATCCATAATGCTTTGATCCTCGTATTGATAGTATCATTGATTCAGGTCCTAAATTGATTGTTTTTATATTTCAAGTCCATCATTGAAAACAAATTCTTATCAAAGAGAGAGGAGTTAATTTATTTAAACTCTATAATGACTTGGGTTCATCTTAAAAGGTATGATGAGTAGCTTAGGGCCTTCTAAATAAGTTTATATTTTATATTTTTTCTGTTTTTGCACCAATGAATCGATTGGGGACAGTGATATCCTAAAAGATAACATACTATGGGGAGTAGCTTAATAAGTTTGTTTATCTTTGTATTAGTGAAACCTAGTTGTAAAGACATTTTGTGAGCTTCTTAGTGACCGATAACTTTTAATAACTGAAAAGATCTTAAAAGAAAATGGTTGTAACTTTTTGATAAAAGTAAAGGGTTTTGATTGAGTTATGTTTGGTATAACAACCTGTTATGACAAAATAGCTATTAAAAATTCTTGTCTCAAACATACACCTAAGATCTTTTAAGCTTTTTAAATAGTACAAAAGCTACAAGTAACATACCCGTATAATCATAAAAAGTAACATACATGCTCACTCAGACCAAGAACTCAAGAGTTAGGATTCACTCAACACGACAAATGATCATTGACTTTGAACTGAGTGTAGACTGTAGAGCAAAATAATGGTCACATTGACACTAAAATCATGTTTAGAAACTGTGAAGTAGGGCACCATTTTATATTTTTATGTGTTGTCCCTGAAAGTAAATTTGGGGAAAAGCAAACTCACCAAATCATTGCTGCATTTGGAGACAATTTAAACAATTTGTGCAACTGTAAATACGATTATTTTTATTTGGACGTTGTTGCTTAAATCCCTGATTATAAGAAAGGCAAGAGTATCCCGAAGAAAGAAAAGGAGAAAGGAAAATTTTGCTTGCAAAGAGAAAAGAAAATACACACATACAGTCAACATGGAGTCGGGAGAGGAAGAGAGGCCTTCTTCGCGGGCGAGAGAAAGAGCGAGGTCTCGCACTCTGAATGCATGTGCAGCATCATGAGATGCATCGTTCGACTTCATGGCTCTCTGCACCAATTCCTCCGCCTTCTGGATGACATCTTTCTGCACCATCTTCCCGTCCCAGAGGAATTCTGACTAACAGCCTGTTCTGGATTAAGAAGTGTTAGTAATAATAACCTTCAATTGGAACAATTTTTATCCTTCTCATTTACCCGATGATATGGAATATATGGCCCAGGAACCCCCGGCCCATAGACCCCTACTTCTCCTACACAAGTCCATTGAGCCCAGAGAACAACTCAGGCCCAAATACAGCGGCCCAAGCCTCAAAGTAGCCCAGAATACACACTGGGGGTGCCTTCGGCCTCCTTGGCCGAAGGCTTCAAAACTCACAGAATAGCCTTCTCTGGCATAAGAAGCTACTGGGAGAAAACGGCGAAAAACATGAGCCTTCGGCATTATCAAGCCCTCGGCATCAGAGAAGCCTTCGGCTGAACCAAGCCTTCGGTCACACAAGGCCTTCGGCTACACAGGGGTCCTTGGTTACATGAAGCCCTCGGCTACACAAGGAGTCTTCGGCCAAACACGCTCAATCATCGAAGATTCCTTTTGGACAGCCAACCACCGCATTTAATGCCACGTCACATCTGCCAACCGCATTCAATGCGGTGGACGTACCACTGCCGGTGCCAACCGGCTGATGTGACCCTTCGGCCGTTGGATTGCTGACACGTGTACTCTCATCGCATTTATTGCTGCTATAAATAGCAGCCCATTTCTCCTTGTAAACGATCCCAACACATCTCGAGTTCATTTAATAAAATCGACTCTCTCTCCTCCTATTTACTCTGACTTCTCTCTAAGTTATTCCCGCAATAACCCGTCGGATAAGATACCCCCGGGTAGACTATCCATCATTTGGTGCTCTCGTTGAGAGGTCTGAACAATCAAGTAAGAAACCCTCCCCCTCTACCAAATACAAAACACTTACCAAAAATGGGAAGAACCACTCGTGCCCAATCCAAAACCCTTGAGGAGAACAACGTAGCCCCCGGCGAAACCAACGGGGCTGAGGCCTCCAACAGGCTCTTAGTACCCGAGGGTGGAATCATTCTCGAGTTAGAGCAGGCTACTGCTGACCTCCGTCAGCAGCTACAGAAGAATGCCCCTGATGCCCGCATTGGTCTTGATAATCGAAGGAGGGATCGGAGTGAGAACCAAGTTCCCCCTCCGGCCTCGGCCATCGATCTTCAGGCTGCCTTTGCGGCCTTTGTTCAAAACATGGCTCTCAATTCCGGAGCCCTCGCCTCTCAGGCACCCCTTCAGCCCTACGCTGGAGGAAACGTTATTCAATTGCCACCACTCCCTCCTCTATTCAACAATCCTCCCCCGGAAATTGGCAACGCCGAGGGGGTCATAGCACAGGATACCGCCTCCCAAGAGGCCCAATCCAAGGATAAACGCCCCATGATGAAAGAGAAACCCCGAACCTCTGCACTTGAGAGGTTGGGGGGAGTTCCCGGGCGCCGAGGGGTCCAAGACCGCCTCGGCAAGCGGGAATTCAACAGGCCCCAGGAGAGCGAAGCCTCTGCTTCAGGATCCGAGGGCATGCCTCCACCCCGGAGCAAGGGCAAAGCTCTCCTCCATGCCAATGATGCCAGGCACCAAATCACACAGGCGCAATCCTTCCGGGCCAACTCCCAAGGGGTTGCCCCGAAGGATCCCAAGGACGAAATCATTGAAGCCCTCCTCCGTCAACTCGAGGAGAATCGTCAGGCACCCCCGACGGCTTCCACAGCGAGGCCAGATCCAGAGTACGCTGACCTCCGAGCGCAAGTGGAGGAAATGAAGCATAAGCTTGCCGAAGGCTCAGGCGAGCCCCTCATTCAGCTCCGCACTAGGACGCCTTTCACCCCAAGGGTGTTGGCGGCCAAAATCCCCCCCAAATATCGGGGGCAACCTATCAAGCCATATGAGGGGAAGACAGATCCCCAAGAGCACTATAGCCGCTATCAAAATAGCATGATGATGATGGGGGCTTCGGATGAATACTTATGTCGTTGGTTCCTTTCCACCTTGGAGGGGCCAGCGTACGAGTGGTTCAACCGATTGCCCGAAGGCAGCATTGATTCTTGGCAGGAACTTGCCCACCGCTTCCTTACACAATTTGCCGGGAGGCACCGCTCAAAGAAACACTTCTCCCACCTTCTGAACGTGAGACAACAAAAGGAGGAAACCCTTCGGAGTTTCCTAGAACGCTGGAGGCAGGCCTCCCTCGAGGTCGAAGGCGCCGATGACAGGACCCTGATGGCCCTCTTCCACACCGTCCTCCGCAACGGTAACTTCTCCCGGAGCCTTATCACTGATCCCCCCCGCGATTATACCAAGGCCCTTCAGCGGGGGGACCGATATGCCGAAGCGGAGGAAATCGAGAAGGACCGCCGCAACACGGATCCTTCTCAGAAGAATGAAGGCAGGAATCGGCCCGGAGGGCCTCCCCCTCCGGCCAACCGAGAGGCACAGTACAACGATCGCTCCCGGGGTGGCCAAGCCAGACCCGGGGGCGGTTACAAGAACAATCCGAAGGCATGGGCGCAACCCGTCCTCCTGGAGCACCCACGCACTCCCCTGACGCACCCCGTCAGCGTCATCTTGGACCACGCAGAAGAGCGAGGGCTGGTGGAGCGAGACTCCCGTACACCTCTCGAGATTTATGCCATCGGTCCTGATGAGCCCTATTGCCGCTTCCACCGCCACCATGGACACAAAACCGACGACTGCCATCAGCTGAAGAACGCCATTGAGAGGCTGATACAGGCGGGCCACTTGTCTCAATTTATCAGGGGCCCTCCGCCCCAGGGCCCCCCTCATCATCAAGGTCCTCCGCCGAAGGCGAATAAGTGGGTGAACCCCAACACCATCCCTTTGGGAAACCCGCAGGGGAAGAAGCGTGAAATTGGGGGCCTCGAGGACGAGGGAGAAGGCTCCCATCAACATTACAAGCGCCATATACATATGATCAACGGCGGCAACACCGGAGGCGATTCAACAAGCCAAAGGAAGAAGTGGGCACAGTCCCTTTACATTGGGGAAGTCAATCACATGCCCCCAACTAAAAGGCCGAGGGCGGAACCCATCTTCTTCACAGATGCGGACCTCCCCTCGGGCTCTCTGCCGCATAGGGATGCCCTCGTCATCCGCACTGAGATCAATGACGCCATCATCCTCCGGACTTACGTTGACACGGGGAGCTCTGTCAACGTCATGTACCTCAGCACTTTCCAGGAGTTAGGGCTCGACAGGGGATCCCTTCGGCACATCAACACCCCCCTCTCCGGGTTCACGGGGGACAACATAGACGCCGAGGGCGTCATCAGCCTCATGGTTGAATTCGGCGACGGATCCCATAGAGCCAAGCTCGAAGTGGAATTCATCGTCGTCAACCTCGACTGCGCTCACAACATCATCCTCGGCCGGCCCGCCCTCGAGGACCTGGAAGCCGTCATCTCCATGAGGCACCTCTACCTCAAGTTCCCCACGCCTACCGGCGTCGGTTACTCGAGGGGGAATCAGAAGCTCTCCAGGGCCTGCTACCTTCAACTCACCAGGAAGGTTAGTAAAACTGAATTTCGTGTTGACACAATCACCACCAAAGCCTTGGAGGAAGAAGAGGGCAGGCCGAGGGCTGAACCTGCCGAGGAGACTGAAGACTTGATACTCGATCCGGCCAAGCTGGAGAGAGTCCTGAAGATTGGAGCCAAGCTCCCCGAAGACCTGAAGACTGGCATCACCGAAGCCCTCCGCGCCTACTCCATTTTTTTTGCATGGGGACCGGAAGACATGCCAGCAATTGACCGGAGGGTCATCACCCATCGCCTTGCGGTGGACCCTTCGGCCAAACCAGTACAGCAGCGGAGAAGACCCCTCTCGGCCGAGAGAAGGGAGTTCGTGAAGAAGGAGGTAGCCATGCTCCTCTCTATCAAACACATTAAGGAGGTGAAATACTCTTCTTGGTTGGCGAACGTAGTCCTCGCACAAAAGCCCCCTACCTTCCGCATGTGCGTGGACTACACAGATCTGAATAAGGCGTGCCCTATGGACCCCTTCCCTCTGCCGAACATTGATCAACTGGTGGATGAGACCGCGGGATGCGAGGTCATGTCATTCCTCGACGCATTCCGCGGATATCATCAGATCTATATGCATGAGGAGGACGCTGAAAAAACTGCCTTCATGACACCCGAAGGCATCTTCTGCTATCTCGTGATGGCCTTCGGCCTCAAGAATTCAGGCGCCACCTACACACGCATGGTGGCTAGGGTCTTTCAAGTTGTCCTAGGACGCACCATGGAGGCTTACGTTGACGACATGATCGTCAAAAGTAAGAAGGCAAGCACTCACGCCGGAGACCTCCGGGAGATCTTCGGCATCATGCAAAAATTCAGCCTTCGGCTAAACCCGAAGAAGTGCACCTTCGGCGTACAAGGTGGGAAATTTTTGGGCTACATGGTCAGCCGAAGGGGTATTGAGGCAAACCCCGAGAAAATTCAAGCCATCATCAACATGGAGCCCCCGCGCAACGTCAAAGAAGTTCAACGGTTGACGGGTCGCCTGGCAGCCCTCAACCGATTCCTCTCTAAGTCAGCCGAGAGGGCCCTCCCCTTCTTCCAAATCATGAGGAAGACAGCTGGTTTCCAATGGACATCTGAGTGTCAAGAGGCCTTCGACGAACTTAAGAAGTACCTCTCTTCTCCCCCAGTGCTCTCCAAACCAAAAGTGGGGGAGACTTTATACTTGTACCTTGGTGTTAGCCCTGCTGCCATCAGCTCAGTGCTAATCCGGGAGGAGGACGGCGTCCAACACGCCATCTTCTACGTCAGCAAAACCCTCCGGGAGGCCGAACTCAGGTATTCTCTCGTCGAGAAGACGGTGCTAGCCATCGTTTGGACCGTCAAGAAGCTTGGCCACTACTTTCAAGCTCATCCGGTCCAAGTGCTCACCCATCAACCCCTCGGCGCCCTCATGAGGAGCCCCACAAGTTCCTCCCGAATGGTGAAATGGGCCATCTTCCTCAGTCAATACAACATAGATATCCGTCCGAGGCCTGCCATTAAGGGCCAAGCCCTGGCAGACTTCGTAACGGAATGCACTGCGAGATCAGCGATGGATGAGGAGCCTTCGGCACCCCTTGACGAGTGGTGG